TTTTGAAGCTAGATGAGATATGTGCAATTGAAACATTATCTTATGATTTGACAGATTCTCCAGTTTCCTAAATGACGCCAATGTTCTTGGAGAGTGTAAATATATATATAGTCTTTATACTTCCTAACTCTGAGCATATTTAAAGCCTTGTTATTGACACAGATTTCTGATTGAAACCAGATGCTGGAATAAGGCTTCTTCCACCAATAGAATGAGAAGTTTATATTCCAAATATCTTCCAAGAATGGAGTATGATATTGCTAGACAACTTGTGTTACTCTTAGATGAGGGAGTTCTTGGTAAGAGGGCAGTACAAATCTATGGCTTTCCTGAGTTGTGTCTCTCATTATGGCTGAATATTTCACACTCTTTGTGATTGGTAGGGAAGAAAGTGTAATGATTTCTGGCTGCCATTTGTACCTCTAGGAGATCTTTTTAGAAGTGAAATGACTGTCTTGGGAGTCTGAACTAGGAAACTCAATTTAAAAATGAATATTCATGCATACCTGCCCATAGCCTCATGGCCACCCCATGCATTATCAATGCCCTCAGCCCTCTTCCATAGCAACTGCTGTCTTCTGTGCTTGAGTTGCCAATAAGTACCTTAATCACATGCCACTTTGGACTATTTTGGTTATATAAACATGGAGACATCTACATCTGGATTCCTAGGCTGGTTGCAGGAATTTGTAAACAACGTGGTGTACGTGTTTCACCGAAAACTACCCATGTAATACTCCTTTTCCCACTGTGCATTACCCAAGTTTGCCCTTTACAGAAGCTGGCTTGGAAGTTTATTTGGAGTTGGGGAAATTCTTTCAGTTAAGTATCCATCCTAAGTATAAACAACAATTACGCTTTAAAAAATGTTCATGCCTTGTATAGAATCCCTCTTAAAGGCTAGTTTTGTTCTTGTCATAAAAGAAACCTCACTGAAAAGTGGTGTAAAGGAGATGTAAAGAAATGTTTAATTTTTTTTTACTCCTTTATGATGTGTGAAATTCATCATTGAGTATGGGTCGTAGAGTATCCACCTTTGGATAAGGTAACACCACATTGGCAACTTCTGGTAACCAGCTGAGAGAATCAGCCAGGTCTTACAGATCTTATAGATCTATCTATATAGATATAGATATAGATATAGATATAGATATAGATATAGATATAGATATAGATATAGATATAGATATAGATATAGATGTAGATGTAGATGTAGATGTAGATGTAGATGTAGATATAGATATAGATATAGATATAGATATAGATATAGATATAGATATAGATATAGATATAGATATAGATATAGATATAGATATAGATATAGATATAGATATATAGATATATGATCAATGGATCTTATGTTGATCTATTGAAAACACACACACACACACACACACACATACTGACCCTGCTCTGATTTTCGAGAAGAGAACTAGCTATGGAGGAAGTACTTGACTCCTGAGGTCTCTTCATCTTTCCCTTTGTGCTTCTTACATAATGCAGCCAGTAGATAGAGGAGCAGAATTGATCTCTTCTTCCCCCCACCATAAGCAATAGTATCTTGAGCATCAGAGGCACATGGAAAGAAGAAAACAAACATTTGTTAAGTGTCTACCATGCTCTGAACACTGGAGTAAGCGCTTTACAAATATTATCTCATGTGGTCCTCGCAACAACCTGGGGAAATATTATGATCTCTATTTTTCACTTGAGGAAACTGAGGCAAACGCAGGTTAAGTGACCTGCCCAGGGTCACACAGCTAGTAAGTGTCTGAGGCCATATTTGAACTCGGGTTGTCCTGACTCCAGACTACTCAGTATTCTATTGACTGCATCACTTAGATACCTCATCCTCTACATGCCACTACATGAAAAAGTCCAATGCTGAAGGGCATCTAGCTGAAAAGTTAAGTTGAAAAGCCAATCAGCTCTGAGGAAAGACCTTTTTCTCTACCTTTTCCCTTTCACCTCTTGAAGAGTCTACCAAGGGGAGAGGAAATGGAAAATTCCTTCTCTCCCCACATCAACAATGGCATCTTACCCAGAAGTACAAGGTCATAGGAGATGTCTGATTTATCTTGCTGACTTCATGGATGGACTCTCTGGGCCTGCTGGCTGTCTGCTGTGTGAGGCATTTCCTTCAGCCATGTGCTTCAGCTATAAGACATCATTACCAGTGGGGAATGGAGAGTAGGAGGAACAGATTGCTTTTTTGTTTTGTTTTATATAGGCCCAAGGGCTAAATAGATCTGATTGATTTAACTGCTGTAGATCTGTGTTGCCTTATTTTCAAACAGGGTGGCTGCAGCAGGGAGGAATAGTGTTTAGTCTTGGTAAGAGCAATACAGAAAGGTTTTAAGTCTTGGTCCCCAAAAAGTGATGGACTTTTTCCTGGCTGAAGGCTGAGCTAAGTGAGAATTTTGTGGTTTTAATTATTAAGTATTTTTTATAAATTTCCTAAAAATCACAACTAAACTAGATCCAAGGATCCCTTTGCCCCTAGGGTAAAAATAAGTCAGATTCCTCCCATTATTCTAATTGTTCTTTACATCATGACCAATGGGAAGATATGCTTAATATGAATGTATAAGTAGAGCCTATATCAGATTGCATGCCATCTTGGGGTGGGGGGAAGAAATGGGAGGGGCAGACAATTTAAAACTCAAACTTAAAATCTTATGGACGTGAATGTTGAAAACTAAAAATAAATAATTATCAAAAAAAAATGAGTCACCATCTCATTTTTATTTTATGGGGCCCCTGGGATGTGGTCTCACTCATTTCACGTATCTGATTTGCTGTCTAATTTTGTTGTTCCCACCTTTACGTATCTCTCATATGTCATCTTCTCTCTATTCAGACATCTGGTACCCTAGTCTCAGCCCTTATTAACTCTCACCTGGACTATTGTAGTAGCCTTCAAACTGGTCTTCCTGCCTCAAGCATCTCCCACCTCTAATCCATCCTCTGTTCAGCCACCAAGGTGATTTTTTTAAAGTATAGGTCAGACCATGCCACCCACCCCTGAGTATTTTGTTCCAGTGATTCCCTATTATCTCCAGGATCAATTAAAAAATACATTGTTTGGCATTTAAGACTCTGCATCACATGGCCCACTCCTACCTTTCCAATCTTCTTATATTTTACTCCTCTCCATTCACTTTATGATCCAGCTACACTGGTCTATTTGCTATTCCTTACACATGAAACTTCATCTCTAGTCTTTGCACCTTTGCATGGACTATATGTCATGCGTAGAATGCTTTGTCCTATCCCCTCTCGTTTTTAGCTGCCCTATAGATTGCCCTAGAGTCCTTTCCTATTTCCTTCAGCTACTAGAGCCTTTTTCTTTCAGACAAACTTCCATACACTCTGCATACACACAAATATAATATATACCTAATTATTTACATGTTGTCTTTTCCATTAGAGTGGGTGCTTTTTGAAGGCAGGAACCTTTTTTTTTTGTATGCCCAGCACTTAACAATGTCTGACACATAGTGAATATGTAATAAATGCTTGGACAGCTAGATAGCAAAGTGGATAAAGTGTTGCCTGGAGTCAGGAAGACTCCTCTTCATGAGTTCAAATCTGGCCTTTGACACTTACTAGCTGTGTGACCCTGGACAAGTCATTTAACCCTGTTTGTCTCAGTTTCCTCATCTGTAAAATGAGCTATAGAAGGAAATGGCAAACCACTCCAGTATCTTTGCCAAGAACACACCAAGAGGGATCATGAAGAGTCAGACACGACTTTAACGACTGGACAACAACAGAATAAATGCTTATCTGAGATAGGATCAATAACTGCCAGAGTTCCCTTTCTCAGAAACGTGTGTTAGGCTAGATTTTCCCTAAAAGTAGACAAAGCCAGATTTGACTGGCACAATGGGGCATGGTTCAAGCCATGCCTTCCTTGACTAACCTTCCTGATAGCCAGTAGCTGTAATGACATGGCTTCCTAGTCATCTAAGGGTGTAAAATGTCCATCAACGCAGGGTCAGCATTCTCCAGACTCAGTGTGTAAAATGCCCATCAATGCAGGGTCAGCATTCTCCAGATTCAGTGGATGTTCCAAGACTGCAAATTCACTGTATTTGCCCTAATGACCAGATGCATTTCCATGTGGAGAAAATACGGGCCACTTCTACGCAAGCTACTATATCCTTGTTTAATAACCTTGATATATCAGAGCTAAGTAAATCTCCTTTTCTTAGCTGTTAAATGACCAATGAGTGCCTCATTTTGTCATGATATTGAACAGATACTAACAATGTGCCAGCTTGAGTCAGGCCCTTCTTAATATCTGATGTGATTTTTAAAAAAAACACCTTAGCCTGTAGACTGATGAAATGGTAAACCTCCTTTAAATCTCCTTCCCTTGTGGTTTTCCCCAATCACCCTCACTTCATTGTGTATCCAAATACTGGTACGCACAGCTTAATAATTCGCCACAGTTTTAATAGTATCACAGAATTTAAAGGAAAACTTAGACATAAAATTTCTAAACACCTGTGGCTTAGTAATTCACTCAGGGAGATAGAAGGCTGTTCTCTCTTCCCAGGAACTGTGAAAAATAGACTAGGAGAAGTTTTAGACAGTGGGCTGGAATAAAGCCTCTAAACACAAACATCCCAAGGTCAGCTAGGTGGCTCAGTGGATAGAACACCAGCCCTGGAGTCAAGAGGATCTGAGTTCAAATCCAATCTCAGCCCAGACACCTGATACTTGCTAACTGTGTGACCCTGGCAAGTCACTTAACCCTAATCGCCTCATACAAAAAAAAAAATAAATGAATAAAAATAAACTCAAGCATCCCTCATCTATGCTATAGATCAGAGTTGTCAAACTGGTATCCCTTGTGGTCTGTAAAAGGCTGAACCAGACTGAAATGTAATTGTGAAATGTTTAAGAAAATAAATACAAATATAATACAATATAGATGATGTTAATTTGTGATTTTCTTTCCTTTCTATTTCAATTTGATACTGTTGCTGTAGATCACCACTTATTTCAATTTCCTGGAACAATCTACCACGGCATGATTGCTCCCACTGTCTCCCAATCCCTGGTTTCCTTCACCACAAGGTAAAAAAATTCATATTCTGCTCCATTTTATGTATTGTTGTCTAAAGCTCCTGCAACCACAGTCTCTTGTGGCTGCCCTCCTGCTCTGGCAAGCCCTCACTCCCAAGGTCAGGTCCCTTTCCCCTGCCCAGCCCCCACCCTCTCCAGAACTACTACAAACCAGAAGTAGTTACAGATCAAAAGCCCATGCCTTGTCCCTCATTTGCACTTTCTCTCCCCCATGCCCTGAACTCATACTAGTCTATGGAAAGGATATTACAAATCTCCCCAAAGCTGAAAACATAGTACCTTGAAAATTCCTGAGATTTGGGGACATCTGCAAGTGTGCACCACGAATATCAAATAAACATCAAATACTTAAAATAATATGGATGGTTGTACCAACAGCATAGGTTATCATCCCATAGTACCATTTATATCAAATACACATCAGCAATATGTTCAGCGGACACAGCATGATGCAAGCAATGATTGACAAGATGCTTCTGTAGTTAGATAACTACATCGTATGTAGGACATGTAAGTGGGTTGTACGGGGTATTCAGGGAAAACTAGCACCTCTGGTGTGAGGGCTTGCTGAGCCCTTTTTTTTTAAGGTTGTTCATCCACTTTGGTGTTCACCACTCACCAAATTCTCACCTGTGGGTCCAAGAAGTTGTTGCATGTGCAGCAGCCACACCCCAGTAAAGCTGTTTTGGCAGATGGGCTAAATCAGGTTGAGGGTAACCAAGAGGCCTCAAACTCATTGGTGAGTTGGAGGGAAGTTTAACCCCATGCATGTGAAGACTTTCCCTTGTGGAATGGCAGATGAGAATGATTTGTTCTAAGAGCCATGAAGGTAGCTGAAGCAGGCACTGTGGAGCATTTAAACCTTGGTCAGACATCTAAGGCACAAAGGTCATCCACTGCATCCTAGGCCATCAGGGTACAGGGTTTGGAACTCTCCTTTAGTTCTACTGCTTGATCTACTTGATCAAGCAAATCTCTAGTGTTTACCTGAGGCAAACTACTCAAGTAGCCTTTCATTATTGTCTGTAACAACTCTCCCAATTTTCTGTTACCCTTAATTTAGCCTAGCCCTCCATTGTATATTACCTCCAGATGGCCCCTGCTACTTCCCATCCTTGATCCTATCTAGACCCCATTCTACCTCCCAGTCACTCCAGTCCAGATCCTCCCTAGACCCCTCCTCTAGACACCCCAGCCTATTGGTCATTCCCATCAAGATACCCCCTCTCCCAGACACCTCCTCCAGTGACCCCAAACTGCTTGGCTACTCCTGGATCCCTCCCCCAGTCTTTCTCTGTGTGTGTGTGTGTGTGTGTGTGTGTGTGTGTGTATATATGTATATATGTATATATGTATATGTGTATACATATACATATATACATATATATACACATATGTATGTATGTATGTATGTATGTATGTATGTATATATGGTCCCTCTTGTCTCCATTAAGGTACTGAGATTCTTTAAGAGTCTAGCCAAGGTGGGGCAGCTAGGTGGTGCAGTGGATAGAGCACCAGTCCTGAAGTCAGGAGGACCTGAGTTCAAATCTGGCCTCAGACCAAACACTTGACACTTACTAGCTGTGTGACCCTGGGCAAGTCACTTAACCCCAATTGCCTAAAAGCAAAAAAAAAAAAAGAGTCTAGCCAAGGACTCAGATTCTTAATATCAAGTCTGCTTGTATTAGTGATACAAATGCCTAGATTCCTCAAGAGTCTGACCAATATGGTTAATCTTTAATAAACCTTGTCTTTAACTGAAAGAAGGCTTGGGTTGAATTCATTTGGGTAGGACCCACATGTTGTGATTTTTGGGGTCCCAGCACTCCTAAACCTCTAAACCTCCATAATCTTGACATCTGTCTTGCCACTGGACTTTGATGACTCTGGAAGAGAGAGTGAGGTTGACAACTTTGTACAACTCTGTCTTCCTTAAATCCAAGTGAATTCTTCATTTTTGCTGTTTATGCTTATTTGCTTGTGTACTATAGATATGTATGAAGACATGTACCTTACATAGATTGTTGTTCATCCTTCTTTTCCAAGAGGACCAATGACATCACAGCAAAGAAATAACAATATCACTAGGCCTACATAAAAAAATATGCATAAGCTGATACCTCAGTAAAGATCAATAAACTTCTGCATAGCTAACAAATATATCTACAATGCATATGCATGATAACTGAAACTTAAGCAAAAACAAAAACAAGTCTAGCAATTGTGAAGGGCAAAAGGTAGAAAGTTGGGTGAGCAGAACTAACAACTCCCTGAGTGATCCCCTTTGTTCCCAACTCCTCCCTTTGAACATAGTTTCCTTTCTTCATTTCAAATTAAATTTTATTTAAGAAATTTATTTTCTCTTCATCCCACTCTCCATTTAAAAAATGAAAGAAAAATAAATTTCTCTTTAAAAGTATTCATAGTCAAGCAAAACAAATTCCCTCATTGGTCATGTCAAAAAAAAAAATATGCCTTATTCTGCACCCTGAGCCCATCACCTCTCTGGCAGGATGGGGATAGTATGCTTCATCTTTGAGTCAGGCCCATTCTTAATACTGTCTGACATGATTAAAAAAACAAAAACTTAGTCTGCAGATTCCGGAATCATAGATGTCATTATGTTGATCAGAGTTCTTACAGCTTAAAGCTGTTTGTTTTTACAGTATTGTTATTGCACAATTTTTCTCCTGATCCTGTTCATTTCTTTCTTCGTCAGTTTATACAAGTATTCAAAATTATTCTCTTTTATAGGATAGTGCAAATTGTTCTTCTGGATCCACTCACTTCACTTGCATCAGTAAAAATAACCTCTTTCCATGTCTCTTTGAAGTCATCCTTTTCCCTCATTTCTTACAGCATGAGAATGTTCCATCACATTCATAAACCCCAATTTATTCAGCCATTTCCCAATTGATAGGCACTCCCTGAGTTTTCAGATTATTTGTTTTTGCCACCACAGCAAGCATTGCTACAAAATTTTGTACATATAACAAGCATCTTTGAGCTTTCCTCTTTCTTTGATCTCTTTAGAGCATAGGTCTAACAATCTTATAGCTGGATCAAAGGCAGTGTTTATGGCAACTGACTCCAAAGCGGACTCTTTTGCTGCTCCCTCGTGGATAGCTTTAAGCTCATCCATGCCTATGTTACTTATGTTCTGAATAAAGTTCTTTCTATGTTGGGGACACTAAAAAATATGAATCAATAGGCTCTCTTTCAGTCTAATTGTAAGCATCCATATTTTTCCAGGGAACACCTCCCAGCTTTAATCATGTATATCAATTTCCCCCTCTGGGCAGCTTTCCATACAATGGATCCCTCCTCAGTTAAGTTCAGCCCCAAAGGACATACACACCAGCAGCAACACAATATACAAATAGGTCAGTTTGGAGACCCTGGTTTCTTCAGGAGCCAGTGGCAAACAAACAAATACACAACCAAAACAGAAAGAAAAAGAACAAAAATTGGGGAGACAGTTCAGCTTTCCTGCAAATGCTGATGATCAGAGCAAACAGCATAAGAGAGAAAGGCTTGAAAAGTTTGAGCCTTCTCCTGTCTGCCAATCTGCTCATACTTTGTCTTGGGAGGCAGTAGGAGCAGCACAATGGCAGTATATTGTGTGGTCTCTCTCAACTTGCTTCACTTCCAACTTTGAGATGTCACCTCCTCTTGGGAAGACTTCTCTGAGGAATGGGAAGGGTTAAATTCTCTCTGATAGATAAACAGTGGACACTGGTCTCTAATATCCAAATACACATAAATAATAAAACAATAAGATGAGAACATGCCCTAACACGTAGTAACTAACACATGTATAGAACATATTCAATTACATACCAGACATTGATTACATAGGGAAGTATTAGTATAATCTCTTGGCTACTGTTACATGTGTAACCACTTCTCCATTTTTCCCTCTGTAACAGCATAAATAATGAGTTAGTCTAGTCATATAGGTTGAGGAGACCTAAATGGGCTGGTCAACATCATTATCACAGGTGGTACAATGCAGGTGTTAGGCCTGGAGTCAGGAAGACTCCTCTTCATGAGTTCAAATATGGTCTCAGACACTTACTAGCTGTATGACACTGGGCAAGTCACTTACCCCTGTTTGCTTAAGTTTCCTTATCTGTAAAATGAGCTGGAAAAGGAAATGAAAAACCATTCCAGTTCCTTGCCAAGAAAATCCCAAGTGAGGTCATGAAGAGTCAGACAACTGAAAAATGATTCAAAAACAAGAGTTATTTATGTACTGTTTGCCCCCCCCCTTCCCCGCTTTAAGGACAGGGACTATTTTTGATTCTTTTTCTAACTCTAGCATTTAGCATGGTGCCTAGCACATAGAAATATTTGTTGATTGATTGATTTCCTTAAACTTTCCCTCTACCCAAAACACAGCAACTAAACATTTCTTGGCTTAGTTTACTTATTATTGATTTCATCCTTCAAAAAATGGAGAAACAGATTAGTGTAACTCTGTTCTGGAAATGATTCTCATTGATGAGAATCTGCTAGCTGAGAGTGGAAATGATGAAGTCCTAGGCGCAGTGGCCATTCCACATTAGAACTGGTGATAGAGAAGAAGAAAGTCAAGCATATTCTAAAATGAATTCTGAAAGACATGGTAGAAATTCCTTCAAATCATATTTGTACCAGTAGGCTGGGTCCGCAAAAGACTTTCTGGCTGAAAGTTTGGTATTTATTTAAATATAGCTAAATAGGCATAATTACCAATGGAAAATGAGATTTCTTCTAGTTCACTGAATATTTAATGAATTAGAATGGGAACTCAAGCCAATTAATGAACTGTAGTTGCAAACTTATTAATAACATATAAATTATCCAACAGCCCCCTAGATTTTTATAGAGCTTAGAATTAATAAATTAAATATGTAGAAATAATTCAAGTGGCTATGAGTTTGGGTCACCTACAAGTGAATATGGTCAGATCCCAGCCCCGTTGGGAAAAAGTTATCTGGGCCCAT